ACAACTACCCAAATATAAATTGTATCCTGTGCTCCGTTTTATATTCTTCTCATTCCCTACTTTTTATTGAAGTTTAGTAAGGGACTTTGTATTCATATCTTTCAGACTGCCAGTGAACCTGTCTATGGAAATTTATCTCTGAGTATATTCCAAATTAATTTCATAGAATGTATTTAACTCAATGTTGACTGATTACACAATTTTATATCTCTGACGTCGGCGTGGAGAGAAGAATTATGTGCATTTGAGTGAATCAGATATATATTTGTCAGTTTTCATGGTTATGTGGTTTTTTTCAGATAGTTTTGTATATTCTTCAGTCAAACAGTTTAAAAGCACGGCAAAACAAGACCGCTACAAATAGGATCAGCACCACCAGAGAGCGCGTTCTTTTTTACAGTGTATATTACTAATTAAATCAACTACAGTATTCTGCTTGGAAATGGGATTTCCACAAATCCAGAAGACCACCATGCCGCTGTTATAAAAAAATTTTAAACGTAGTGTTCGTCGTCAGGAGCCCGAGTTCTATTAGTCCTGTCGCTCTCGAACAATCCGGACAAAGTCGATATAACCTCTGGCACACTTTCAAAAGAATCGCCCGCAAGTAAATAAGCTCGCCACATCTAAACTTATCATCAAGGCATTCTTCGCTGATTATAGTTGCTGAATCTTTTTAACGAAGGTAAATGAATCTTTGATGTAAGAAGCACGTTTATAATTTTGTCAGATATTTAGCTAAGTTGTGATTATAGCTGTTCGTTGTGGAGGTGATTGGTCTTAATGGCATTCCTATTTTATGAACTTTTAGCTGACATCTTGATCCACAAGCTCTAATTTTATCATAAACATCTTCATCCATTTTGTTGTACTTTTTTAGATCTCTATTACGATAATTCAGTTGATTCTTCATCTTTTCAACAACGTAATCAATAGTCTTGAAGTTGCCTTTTCATCTTTTACTTTGATCTTTGCATTTCAATGTTTAAAAAAGACAAAGACAGATAAATTGGAACCAAAAGAAGAATTTTGCATATATATTCGTCTGCTTTTCACTTTCTCATTAACCTTTGAAAATGGCCTACTGTGTAGGTTGAAAACTCAGATTGTGTTTGTGTTTTGAATAAATATAATCAAATGGTTGATGAACTAGTACGCTTTGTTTTAAGTTTATTCTTATATATTTCGTCAAATAATGTGCATTATGTGTATTATTATCTGAGAAACGTCAAAACAATAGCTACAACTCAGCTTATTGAAAAACTTCTTTTTTACGCGACTGAAGATGTGTGTTATGAGATATCAATTTTTTAAGAGAAATTTTCAACAATAGTTGATTTCTGGTCATATTTCCCAGAATCAATAAATTCGATGAATTATACAATAGAATTTTGTAAAAATGTACAGAAACAATCATATTCGTTCCGGACATTAGGTATGCGTGCAACAAATTATAATATATATCCAATGAGTTGATAGATAGTAACAAACGTGACTCTCCTTCATTTCTTTGTTGTCATCTGTATAAAACTTGTGTGAGAACCGTGCTTGAATACGGTTGTGTTATCTACGATTCCACTTTTACTTCTCATCTCGAAATTTTGGATAAAACTCAGCGCCTTGCTAGTAGGATCATTTCACAAGATTTTAGTAGTTCTTCTCTACTCAAACAATTTAAAATTCAACCGCTTTCAAACAGACGTCTGTATTATCGCCTTCTCTATTTCTATAAAATTTTCAATCATAAAAGTCCTCTCTCCTCTTTTGATCTGATTTCACGGTTAACGACGCGTCAAAGTTCTCTATTAGGCCATGATAGTCGCGTATTAATTCCTCGTTTAATATCAAAATATGCACCTAGCTCTTTTCTTCCGCGAACATCAAAAGATTGGAATGAACCACCTTCTGTTTTAGTCTGTCAAACTTCTTTTGCCACATTTCAAAATTATGCTCAGAGATTACACAGGCTTTTAATAATGCTATTTTGTTTACTTTTTATATTTTTAAATTTTTAGTTTTAGGTTATCACAGGGTATCCACGGATGCCACAAGTCTTTTGTTCTGTTTTGTGATATCCTACTCTTGAGTAAAAATAAATCTTATCTTATCTAACAAGCTGATAATGGTAATATCTGTATGCAAATTCTTTGAGAATTTCGTTTACACGTTTAACATCCATCAATAATCAATCGCCTATTATATTTAGCTCAGTATGAAACAAATAGGATGTCAATGTAGTAGATATTTTTAAAGTTGTTTAGTTTCTTTAAAAGAGACTTTTGACAGAATAACCCAACAATTAAAACTGCGGTTACAAAAACGCTTTTTAAGAAGCCAAGCAACTTAAAAACTATCTAATATATGTCATCTTGTCGAGAAATGTTTGCTCTACAAAACTACTAATTTCAGAAAATTTCACAGTTCGTTGTTGCGAAAATACAAGTCATTTTTTGAAAAACGCGAAAAAAACTTGTTGCATGCCTAACATTTATAGGCATACTGTAAAGGTCATAATAAAGTAATCACATACAATAAGAAAACAGACAGAAGATAGAACTGTATAATATTGATCATTTTACTTTCTCTATTTGACAATGGATTTTTTATTCACAATACCTTCTCGAAATGCAAAAAAAATAAAATTATATATTAAATCAAAAAAATTAATCAACGTCTTCATTTCTAATATGAAATGTTTGTTTTCCTTGTACATCAGGTATTCGAAATAAGTTAACTGATTTTACAAAAGGAGATGAGGATGTAGCCACTTCTGACATCGAGGATGTAGCCACTCTGACAAAGAGTTTGGCCTTTTAGAACCTGAACAACTGAACAAGGACATGTTAGATTTGTTTTGATGGTGATTTTAGATCTTACAGAGTATATTGATACGTTAGAATCAATTTTAAGCGATAATATAAAATTTAAATTTTTAAATCATGCTTCAACAAGATTACTTGAGAATTCATTAACAACATTGTGAAAGAATACTTAACAGATCTACAGTACTGTACAATACGATCGGATGGCTCTAAATCGACTAGGTTGTATGTGTGATAGATAATAATTGGACCGGATAGCTCAGTGGTTAGAGTATTGATCGACACAGTAAGTCGACTTACATGAACCGGTAGTTTATTGCACGATTGTAGCTAATTGAGTCCTGTCCTTGTATGGTATCGTTACTATACCGCTGTTTATTCAAATCTTAGTGAGAACCGGCTTCGCTTAGAATCACAGAATATATCGCTAGTTTCACGTGTAACTAATTCAACTCCCTCAAAAAATCAACTTAAAAATTCACTTTATGTTCGACTTTTTATTAAGAGTATTGACTTTTTTTCTATATAGTCATAGATGTAAAACAAATTTACATAATCGTTGTACATTATATTGTAGATATATTATTATCATTTTTTTGTAACTTACGTACAATACAAACGCTAGATGATAGCTGTCAGCGATCTAAGATTAGATTTTACAAAACTTAAACAGAAACAAACAGTTCTCTTTGTACTTTAGGACGACCATACTGTGATAGAAAATTAATGAATCAGATTAGGAATCGAAGTCGTTCTAAGGTACACAGACTAAGACTACGAATAAAAAACCTACAGTCTCTTGTATATGTTGTAGAAATAAAACTCCAATTTCAGCTTTGCCTAAAGTTTTTCTAAACGGAAGTCCATTTCCCGATTTTTCTGAGCAAATTTTAAATTTCCCTACAACATATACAGTCTTTTAATTATAAAGAATAAATTCGATGTTGAAAACCTATTTAAAAATGATCCAATTAAAAAAATGATTGATATAATATGTGATAAACTCTATTATACTAACCTTAGAATAAAAGCATTTATCCTGCAATCATTTTTGCTAAAATGGTACCCATCTCATGTTTAATGATAAATATCGAAAGCTAAATTTTCTAACTGAAGCAGTTTTTTAAACTTCTACTTTATAATCAAATGATGTAGAATTTAATTCTGTACGAAGCTGTCATAGTTGAGCTTCCTTGACATATTATTAAAAGGAATTAAAGCGCCCTAGATTTCAGATCTTCTCCTTCTATAAACCTGTTCAGAGACTATATTGCTCAAGAACAACAGTATAGATCAAAATGAGAGACATCGTTAAATTGCACAGAACACTCTGCATCTTTTTATTAAAAAGAAAAACCTGTCAAACCAATTAAAGTGCATGAAAAAGCCGATTATTAGAGATCACTTCGTAATGAACTACATGGTTTTGCCGCGCATCTGAAAACTCCAGTTTCGCTCTGTATTTTGCTGTATAAAACTATTATGCAATGTGGCAAGTAACCTAGAACGTAACAGTAGGAAAAGATTAACTTTTTGAGAAAATGATACATTTTGTAGAGCGACAAAACGCGCGCGTTTTGGTGAGAGAATAATCATAAAAATGTTAATTTGAATAATCAAGTATGCTTTGCAATAAATTGAAGTTTAAAAACTGCTTCAGAATGATGCCACAATTTTACTAAAATAGTTATGGTCATTTTTTTGATAAAGAATAGATTAACGACATGATCAATCTGGTCAATACTTTACTGGTGTAAATTACAGATGAGAAAGATGTGTTTCTGATTAAGTTTTATAAAACCTCATCTTAGATCGATGACACACATTATCTACTGTTTGTAGTGTACGTACAAAAAAATGATAATAATATATCTACAATATAATGTACAACGATTATGTAAATTTGTTTTACATCTATGACTATATAGAAAAAAAGTCAATACTTTTAATAAAACATCGAGCATAAAATAAATTTTTAAGTTGATTTTTTGATCAAACTTCAGCCATTGATTAGTGTACATACTCAAATTGCAAATATTTGTCTGACATTTGCTTTAACAGTATAATGAACTAAATAACTTACCGTATCATTGTGTTAGAACATTTTTTTTTAAAGCAATGTATCGAAATAGATTATTTCAACTAGCATTTCTGATGAAACTATCACTATCATCAGTAATGTGTTCAACTTGCTATTGCAATTCGGGTGGTTCAGGTTTAGCATATCCAATATATTCAGTTACATGTTCTCAATCGTCTGAATGTTCCGTGGTAGCATGTTCAATATGGTATCCTCAACAATGTGGATTAGGAATAACGTGCACTCCAACATGTAGTGGAAATACAATATGGACGAATACTATTACTATTATATTCGCTGGTGTCAGTGTAATAATGTTAAGAATGTTTCATTTAACCTAAGTTGGACCGATATAATTTCGACTAATGTTATGTTGACAATGAAATTAATTAGCAATAGCACGCAAATCTATGAACAGAAAAAAAAGAAGTTGATTAATCCTTTCTTTTGTTATCGCTAAGCAATGACTTCGACTATTGATTTTTTATTTTACTTATTTTATTTATGAATAGTGTTTATATTCAGATGGCCCAGAATAAATGGCTTTCCCCGTATTTTGCTTATAATTTTTTTCTTTTCAATTCTTAAACATGTTTCTTTTTCCAATACATGCGTCGTCAAATTCCTTACAGGCTTGATGAAACTTATTTCTATAGAAAGTTAAGGAGGAAAATTAAACTGACGAGGAAAGGACACCAACTGGGAAATCGCTTTTGAGCCGTGAGCTAGTGGAGAATAGGTAATCAAGTATGCTGAATCCGAATATGGCAATCATTTGGGCCGCTAGCCCTCTTGAGACCCAGTTTTTAAAAAAACAGTTTTCTAGGCC